CACACCATTACTACACTATTTGTTATATGAAGCCAGCACTGCTTGTTATATGGAACTAATCCAGATGCATGCACCCAGGAGCATGATTAAGAGAAGGCAAAATTCACTGAGAGACCACTGGGAGACCACCTACCACAGTAGCTTTCTACAACTTTTTATGTAGAGGCTGGGCAAGGTGGTGTTCAAAATAAAACCAAAAGACTACGATAGGTTGAAAATGGTCAGGGATGGCGGCAGGAATGATTATTTAATATTGTACAGACAAATGGAATTTTCTAGTTAAGTTTTTCAATCTGTAGATAATCCCAATATCCCCTTCTTCTGGGTATGTTTCCTTCTGCTACTCTGGGGGATTTAATTGTGCATTTAGCCCAAGGTCAAAGAAACAGAAAAGGGAGCACCCAACAACTTCCATCTGGATGAAAGTTTGGCCCCTTGAAAGGCATACTTTCTCTATCAAGTACCAGAAGTGCACAATTCATTATAGTATAATAATCGGTATAGCATATGTCTTGGAATCTCAGACTTTGAAAGGACTTAAAGTCTAGCCTTTATTTTAAAGACAATATAAACTAAGGCTCAGAGTGCTTAAGCAATTTGCTAAAGGTAAACATAAGTCATTGAAGGCATTTTAACTCTTGGTCCACACTAATTTGTGCTCCAACACCCTGTCTATTTCATTTATCTACTAGTATTCCAACTACAATTCTAAAATACTAACAAGCTTACTGAAATTGGATATGGTTGATCCTTTTTAATTTTTAAGACTTACAAGTGATAGCTGTGAAGCAGTAAAGAGGATAGGGTAAGGAGGAGAAAATCTTTTTCCCCAATTTTGAGTAAAGAACTCCTTTTAAAGAAAAGCAGAAAAAAGTGTTGATGCCCACATTGTTGAGATATATAGATAGATAGATACATAGCTATAGATATAGATATATAAATATAGATAGATTTTAAACTCATGAATATGTTCAAATACAATACTAAGTATAAATTCCTTATGATTAGAGTTTGTACATGTATCAGTCAGGGTTTTACTGGAGAAACAGATATAACACAGGATGTACAAATTATAAGAAATGACAAGATTGGCTTACGACAGTCAGCCAGACAGTTGTATGGGGAAGTGTGCAGAGGGTGTCTGCACACTGAAGACCGAAGGGATCAGTCCAGGGTCTGGAGTCCACTGCAGAGTTCCATGCAAGTCCGTACCAGGAAGCCAATGAGTCTGCGACAGAAGGCTAAAGGATCCAAGATGGAAGCTGAAGAGTCTATACTAGAAGCCAGAAGACGAAGTCCAAGCTGAAGGTGAAGACTGGAGCTCCTCCAAAAGGAATGGAAGTCCCTCTGTCCTTCTTCATTTCCCTTTTATATTATCTAGGTGATGATCCACCCTAGGGTGGCTCCTCTACACCCTAGCATGTAGAATTGCTGAGCCAATTGCTGAGCCAAGTTTAGTTATGCTTCTAAACTTCTCAAGTTGACATAATCAATCAACCACTACAGTACATGAGTGTAAAACCAAAGCAAAACTGGAAAAAATGTTAAACAACAGTAGCTAAAAATAAACAACTTAATAAACACTAGGTTTTTTACATATACCAAATCCTTTAATATTCACAACAACCCTAAAAGATGGACATAGTTTTTATCTCCATGTAATAAATGATGATAATGAGAAAGTAGTCAATTTGACTGGATTAAGAAAAACCCGGAAGATTAGTAAAGCACATATCCGGGTGTGTGTGAGTTGGTCATGGAGGTGGGACCTTGAGTCCTACATCTGGTCCCTCATACCTTCCTCTCTGGCTCTGCTCTCCTGCTCTACTTCTGGGCTATGCTGCCTTCTACCATGATGTTTCTATCTTGGACCTATGTGACTATTGACTGAATCCCCAGAAACCATAAGCCCAGTTAAACCTCTCCTCCTTAAGGTTGTCAGGTATTGTGTCTCTGGGAAAACTGCCTAATACATACAGAGAAATTAAGTAACTTGTTTAATGTTACAAAACTAACGAGTGGTAGAACTGGGTTTCACAAACATTTCACATGTTAAATGAATGTGAAGAATGATATTGTCTGACAGAAATTCAATTGCTGCTAATAATGTAAGTAAGGTTGAGTAAACCTGTATATATGTCTGTTTCTGTTTTGCTCCTAGGTAACTCTGCCTATCACCTCCAATCTCAGTTCACAGACCAATATTTATATCTTGACTTTATGTGCACTGTTATAAGATAAATTAGTTTGATTACATAAAATTAGTTTGGAAGAATTCACACAGCAGAGGCACACTGAGAGGGAAAAAGTATTATAGCCCTTTATGCAGCAATGACAAAGCTACCCAAATTCTTCCAGGTATTTTGATATTTTCTATGCATAGATTTAAGATGCATATATTTTAAAGCTTCCTTAATCTACTTAAACAAATGTAAACAATAAAATTCACTACCAATGAGATACTGAATTCAAAAGGTTTAAAAAAAACAAGTACATTTATATTTTTAATAGCAAGTTTTAAATTGTTACAGGAAAAAATATGGGCATTTATAATCAGAAATATAAAAATTTATGCCAGGCATGGTGGTGCACGCCTGTAATCCCAGCCCTCAGGAGGCTGAGGCAGGAGGATCATTGTGAGTTCGAGGCCAGTTTGGGCTACAAAGTGAGTTCAAGGCCAGCCTGAACTGCATAGCGAGACCCTGTCTCAAAAACACACACACACAAAAAAAAAAAGAAATACAAAAATTTATTTTCATTTAATCAACCTTATTTAAGAATCTATCCCACAGAACTATTCCCTTCCCTTAATACTCCAATAAATGTTGAAAAAGGTGCAAGCAGTGCTAATAAATGCATTTTCTTTTTTTTTTTTTGGTTTTTCTCTGGTACCAGGAACCGAACTCACGACCTTGCGCTTGCCAGGCAGGCGCTTTGCCACTGAGCTAAATCCCCAGCCCCTAATAAATGCATTTTCTTAAACCTTAGAGCTAGGAAAGCTAGTCTATGTCAATATTATGGACTATGTAGCCATCAAGAATTTTAAGACTCTAGAGCATATTGATATGCAAATATGTTAATGAAATAATGTTAATTACACAATATCCTTTTTTGTGCATATGTACATTCATATGCTGTAATAGATTTTAAAACGTTTCTACATCAGTGTGTCTTCAAATGAAATCTATTTCAAATCTATATGTATAAGTCTGTTAAAGAATACGATGAAGAGATTCCGCCTTGTCTATCTCAAAGTCTACTGTTTCTATCATGATTTATACTTTCCCCATATAAGAAAATACAATTGTGTAAATCTTATTTCCATTTGTTTAGTCATTCGCAGTCACCGCAAAGCCTTCATTTCTATCAAGGTCACGATATCTGTCTCCCTCACCCTTATTCCTGGAGCTCCAGCCAGGGCTCATAGCAGCAGCTCAAGAAGCATCTGGGGGACCAGTGTTCAAAGTTACTCTGGAAAGCGCCATTGTGAAGTTATCCATTGTACAAAAACTTCAAAGAAAAAAATTGTGTTAGCACCGCTAGGCCTCCAGAGATTCATTTAGTAAAGGACGGCTTCGCTTCAGCAGAATAAATTACTACTTCAGGGAACTGAAGAGTTCTCAGGGTGCACTCTGACCTGCAAAAGTCTTGTGAACTCATTTTTATACTTGGAAACTCCAAATGAAAAACAACGGTAAAAATTAGTTACCATGACATGAACCAAAAGGAATCAGACTTTGTATCAACACCAGTAACTGTTTTCAGCACACTTAGTGCCCAGATTTTTCACAGAGGATGTTTATTTTGTTAGTTCAAGTATGAAAAGCAGATATTCCCTCTGGAACCTGCAAACCGTTGACTCGTGGCTTCTCTTTGGGGCTAAGTGATTCCGCATACTACTTTATTTTGGGATAACAGGGCTCATGTTAAGACAGCTTTCAAAAATATTTAAAACGCATGGTTCACCTATATGTTTTATTCAACAATTTAATGATGTTAGGATCTCAGAAAATGGTAGATTTCTAAAATAATCCTTTGTGGAAGTTACATAGTGTTGGTTTTTTTTTTTTTTAAATAACACAAGAAAGCTACATATTTTCATTAACTACTAAGATTCATCAGTTTATTCCACCAGTCCTGCATAAGTGCTAAGGAAAACAAAATGCTGATTTACTTGAGAGTGGTTCTGTAATCTCAGCACTTGGGAGGCTGAGGCAAGAGGATCACTGAGTTGAAGCCAGTGTGGGATACATTGTGAATTCAAGGTCAGGCTGGCCTTGAACAGGGAGACCCTGTCTCAAAACAAACTGTAGAAAGAAAAGAAAAGAAGAGGGGAGGGGAGACGAGAGGAGAGAAAACAAGACAAAGAAAGAAAAAGAAGGAAGGAGGGAGAGAAGGAAGAGGAAGGAAGGAAGGAAGGAAGGAAGGAAGGAAGGAAGGAAGAAAGAAAGAAAGAAAGAAAGAAAGAAAGAAAGAAAGAAAGAAAGAAAGAAAGAAAGAAAAAGAAAGAAAAAACGAACTTGTGATTCAAGGGAATATAAATATAAAATTAAATAATTCTTTCCTGGTACCAAAATGGAAGGTATTTTATCAGCTGTCAGTACCCCCTTAATACAAAATTGTAGCTTTTGCTCAACTTTAAAACCTAATATGACCGTGGAAGAGGGGTCCATTTCAAAACCAACAAAGGATGTGTTTCCAAATCAGCCCCTTCAAAGGTTCCTCTGTAGGTAGACAAAACGGAAAGCGCAGGGCCCACGGAGCCATCCAAATCCCTCTAATGATTTTGTTTTGTCTTTGTTAATAAATCACAGGGAGAGATGATTTTCAAACTTTTGGTTAAAATGGGAATTTATTAACACCTAAAAAAAATTGGTTCCCAAATCTGAGAATTTTTGACAAGCTGATTTTAAATATAATGATCTACTGACTCCTTCCGCAGGGAACACAAAGGATACCTGGCTCCTCGGTAATGCGCAAGGAGAGCTACAGAAACCTGAGTCAACCCAGGGCGCCCTCACAGCTCAAGGCGCCCGGAAGACCCCAAGGCCACCGAGTCCTTGGGTGAGCAGCTTCCGCGGGATCTCGGCGCTCCCACTGCAGGCCTACGCCTCCCCGACACAGGCGGGGGCTTTCGCCGCGCCGCGCGGGAGGGCGCAGGTGAGGGTCCGGGCTCCCCCGGGCGGGGCGTCCCGCGGGGCTGGGAGGAGGAGCCCTCGGGCCGG